TACAAGGGAAGCATTATAGAGTCTACAGGAAAAGTACTAAAACAGCTTTCTGTGAATATGTACTAATCCTCCCACTGAGTCCTCTCCACTTGTTTTAAGAGCTGTTTGTTGAGCATGAGTTGGTGGCACCTCTAATGTTTGGGGCAGAACTCGGAGCCTTCAGCAACTCCACCAGCACTTGTTTCTACCCAACTATTGTAAAAGCCGTGTCCATGCCTCGGCTAGAAGCAGCAAGGGATCGACCATTCAGCATCTGTTGCAAAACCTCTAGTTCAATACTTGTCAGGCTCTCTCTAAACTAGTCTTTATACTTGGCTGACGAACTCAATCCTACAGTCCTTAGGTCACAACAGGAGCTGCATAGGAGGCAGAGGGGTGCTGATATTGCTATAATTTGAGTTCCCTGCTGGGGAAATTTCTGTAAGAGTGAGTTTCGTTCACTGGGTTATTTTTAAGACAGTTTGTAAGAGTGCTGCTGTGGTCAGTAGCAGCCTGATTTGTGTTTTTCAGGGAAAAACACAGTTTCTTTAAAATAGAACCTTTTCTTTTTTCCTACAAAAGCCCAATTCTAGATTTCTGATCACCTGTAAAATTAATAAACTAGCTTTTAACCAGAAATATTTCATTGAACTGTCTATATTACCTGAATGGGAATACCTCTTTGCTTTGCTTTTCTTTAACTAGTCTGAAAGGCTTCACTCAGAATTGGTTCAAAACTTTGTGTTGGATTCCAGGTAGTCCTCGGCTGCTCAGAGAGCTGTTGTCTGATGTACCCGTCCTCTTCTGCTGGACTCTAAGGGCCTTGGCCTTCCCATATGGCATTACAGCTCTCCTGGAGACCGTGCTGTGCCACGGGACACCTCGGTGTGTGCTATGGGAACTGCCTTCCAGCCAGGGAGTCTGCCCCAGAAGTGAGACCAGGGTTATCAGGCTGCCAAACTGCAGTGTCTGAGGCAATGCAACATTGTGGGAATAAAAGCAGTTCAATAGTGTACTGACTCAGAACAAAATTTCTCGGGTCAGGTCACCAAACCAAAATGAATCAATTTTGGTTTCAGTAATGTAAAAATATTCCATTTTAAATGACACAAAATGCACTGGTGTTCACAAATAGTTTTTTGGGGGGGTTTGTTTGTGTGGGTTTTTTGTTGGGGTTTTTTTTGGTTTTTTTGTTTGTTTGTTTTTTAAACTTGTGAACTTCCGTTCTACAAAGAGTCTCTAATTTCAGTTTTTTTCCCCGAATTGGGATAAGAGCGAATGTTGAAATACTGGAATTTCTTCCTTTCTGGGGAGGAGGCAGCTGATGAGTATGAGCAACCAGTTTCAGGGTTAGGACAGCTGACTCGGACGACCTGTACACTGGAGCAGAGCAGGTGATGGTGGGGCAGATAGGTGATGGAGGGAGGGGAACAGACAGGCAGAAGGAGGGAAGTAGGAGACAGGAATGAGAAGCAGCAATGAGGGCTAGAGCAGAAGAGTAAGGAGGAGAGAGCAGAAGTTTCTGCTTGGCTCTCTGGGCCGTAGGAACTGCTACATTTTTGTGCTGTGTTATGCTGTTGGCTATACCTAGCTCAGCACCTTCTGTTTTGCCGAGTGACCGGCAGACATGCAAGCTGGTGCTGCACTGGGAGCTCCTGTCAGAGAGAGCTTGAAGCACTTCACAGAGAGAGCACCTCACTGGTGTGAGGTGGAGGCTCACACCAGTGCACAACTGGGCGGTGCTGTGTGGTTTCACTTCTGCTCACTGAGCAGTTGAGTCCTTCCGTGCTAATCAAATGGGGGTGAATGCAGGACTAAAAGACGAGCACTTCTCAGTTCCCATCCAGGCTCTGAGCAGGGTGCTGCAGCCCTTGCAAGTTAGAGAATCTCTCTGCCACTAAGTCTTTTGCTGCCAAGTAGAAAGAACAGGAATACTCTTTTCTGGTGTGATTGGGAAGGAGCACTAGTGACTGTTCCTAATACACTGCAGAGTGCTTATTATGCTGATGCTTTTATTATTTAACAAGTTTCTTAATTTTTTTTTTTTTTTTTTTTAAATATACCAAATTGATACACTCCATCCATCAGCAATGCCCTCCAGGAATGAGTAGCTAATTAGAGAGCAGGACTTGTGAAAAGACAAACCCGGGTTATGCACAGAACAGGTTTCTCCAGTATTTATTGCCTACGTTACTGGCCAAGCTTCCTTGTAAGTAATAGTCAAATAATCGGCCTGGGTCCTTTTGTGAATGGTTTGAGTCTGTGTGGTCCTCCTTTGTTAGAGCAGCTCATGGCTTCTGAAAGCTTCTGCACCCCCTGTTCTGAACAGCAGAGCCTGGTGGCACCAGCTGCTTCTGCCTGGAACAAACATTTGCATGTGACATTAAAAAAAAAAAAAGCCAATTTCAAAACGTATTTGCTTTTCCTTATCCCCTCATTTTTCAGCCCTTCTTAAAACTCTGGAAATATTTAAAAGATTAATATATTTAGCTTTTGCTACAAGCATCTTTTAAACAAGTAAAGCTTGAAGAGGAAAGAGAAATCTTTCCTTCAGAAATAAAACAGCAGCCAGTGTTTGGAAATATTTTAACAATAGACCATATGGGAGTCCCAAACTATTAAGCTTTATTATTCAGAAGGCGGAAAATGTGGTTTGATATTCAATTGATATACAGCATAAATGAGAGCCGCAAACTCGGCTCCCTTGAGCTGGGATTCAGATGTTCTCTTGAATATAATAACTAACGCTTTGGCCTAGTTCCACAGAATGCATCCAGCCTGCTGATCACAAGCCAAGAAACTGTAGGCTTTTTTTTTTTTTTTCCTTCCCCTCTCTTCACCAAAGTACTTTCCTCTCCTGCCAGCGTGAGCTTTTGGCCTGAATATAAATCTCCTGATATTAGATGCATATAGAAAATGGGGAGGATGCTAATAGCACACAGCAGTGGAGCTGTGTGCGTGTGTGCGTGTGTGCGTGTGTGCGTGTGTGCGTGTGTGCGTGTGTGTTTGTTTTCCTTCTGCTTTAATGATAAGGTTTTCCTACCGTGATGTGCTGTCAGGGGATTACGTTGGTCATCCTAGGTGGGAGCTTCTTTGTTCCTGTTTCACTGTTTGTTTCTTAGTGCTGTGGGAGCAGGTGAACATCTTTTGGGGCTACTGTGAAGTGGTGCCAGAGACCATGAGAGTGTGGAATTTGTTGGAGAGGGAGACTGGAAGTGGTTTCAGTTTCTTTTTTTTTTTTTTTTTTTTTTCCCTTTTCTTCCCTGATTTGACTTGCATATATTTATAATTGCCCTTTCCCCTTTCTATCATGTCTCTCTTAACTTCCTCTCCTATGGGGAAAAGAACCCATAAAAGTTGCTTATAAAATATTACATACATGGACTAAGATTGCCTATATGCAAAGGGAGACTGATAGTTACACAGATACTGTGATCAAGTAATGGCAGGCTGGATCACCTGCTATTTTTTGACACAGGATCCCTGATTTACTCCATGTACGGGATGGACCAGCTTTGTCAGTGTGAACGTGGGAAGTGTGATATGAATAAGGAGTTGCAGGGATACAAGAAATGGTCTTGCGGGTCTGGCAGTTGAATGCTGCCCTGAAATACTGAGTTCTGTGTCTGTCTTTGTCAGAGAGTTCCTTTGAGATCCCGTCCTTGGAAACGGCTGAACTGTCCACTGACACTTTCTGCCCTATGCCCCTCACCAGAACCCAACTGCCTGGGCACAGACCTCAGGCATGGAAAAACATGCAGACAGTGATGTTTAACAGTCAGGTATACCGAATCAAGTCATACTCTAACAGCCTAGAAGCAACCTTAACAGAGTATGTCTTGTTCTGTTCCCTCCCTATGCAACATGAGATGGCTTTGTATGTATTTTAAGTTGTAGGTGTTCAAGATTTTTCTCAGATTTTTGTGCTGTAGGACTTGACAAGTGTCTGTAAGTAACTCTTCCCTCACTTTTGTGACAGACATCCTCAGCTATGTTGGGTCCTATCTTTTCTAGCCTCTCAGAATCTGAAATCAACCAAAGAACCTTCTCTATGGTCTCTGTGTGATTTCCCCTGAGTAGCTAGAAGACTCCAGCATTAAGCTATATGGCATTTTTCTCTATAAATGTGATGAGCCCAAGAAAAAGACTTTCACTTTACGTTTAAGTCCTGGAATGCCTGTAATACAGAACACTTTAGAGAGTATAAATTATGCACTCTGAATATGAAGTTCAGCTTTGGCTTCTGTCTTTCCTCCATTTCTCTTTTCAGTTGTTCATGATAGCTGAAATTTTCCATGTTTTTGTCTCAACCCACACACAAATTTTTTCCTTTGGGGAAAACTGGAGCAAAATCAATTTTAGTGCAATTTTTCAAGCCTCTTTGACTTGCACCTACATCTGTCTGGTGTGGGGGAGTGGAATTTTATCATAAAACGTTTGATTTATTTAATGTATTCAATAAGCATCCAAGATGTGCCAGGTACTTTCTCAGCCCTTTTTGGATGAGAAATCTTGCAAGCTAAGAACTTAATAAACAAAGAAGCTATAGAACTCAAAATTTCCCTGCTGTTAAGGTCTCCATATATCTAAGGAATAAACCACGTTTGAACAATGCAGGTCCAGAGACTTGTAAAGTACAAAATGTCACATGCAGTACTGATGAGATCTAACATTATAAGAACAACTATTTTTTTTTCATATTTCTTGATCCTTTATCTGCCCAACTTACAACAAACTCAGCTGAGATGTGTCCATGCAGCAACTCTATTTTCATTGCAACTATTAGTCTATTTTTATTGATGAAGCCATTGCTATGATTGTATGATGCTGTACTAAGAGCTCATCTAAACAGGGTCATTGAGTCAGTCTAAGATAAGTTACAAATCTGAGTGGAACACCTATTCCCAATTAACTTCATCATCCTAAAGAAGAGGTGCTTAGGAATAGTTAATAAGGAATAGCTGTTCTGGAATAATCCCTTTTTAAGACAAACCCTTACTCTCTCTATAATTGCATTCTAGGAAGCTATTCTGTACTGAATCAGCATGGGATAGAGTGCCTAGAAGACGTTCAGACCAAGCACAGCTAGCGGTGAGTGGGGCAATATACACTGGGATGCCCTATTGCAACTATTATGAGTGAGCAGAAGAATAGCAAAATTGGTTGCCTGTGTATCTCTCTAGAAGGCAACAGAAAGTATTATATCAAAATCACTTTACAAAGGCCTCTCTCTTAGCAGGGATGAAGTATGAGCTGCCTGTTACTCTGAGTGTTAACCCCATGTTACGGACAGAATGCATGTTTCGACTCGTAACTGATTACGATTTGATTAAATGTTGGGGTGTGGAAAGGACTTGTGTGCTTTTTTTCAATGTGTATATTTACATTATTATGTGGGGAGCAATCAATTTATCAAACCCATCTGATTATTCAATAGTGGGGAAAGACAACTGGTTGGAGGAAAACTTGTGTTGTTTCTAAGGTGGACAGAAAATTAGTTTAAAAGAAATTTGCAAAATCTTTTTTTGAGGAGAACCTACACTAACAAACTAATCAAATAAAGGAAAAGCTAATAATTTATAATGCCATGAAAATTTTCCTGTAGCATAAAATTTTGTGCTTGACCTTGCCAAGGATGATGGGCTGGGGTAGAGATGGTGCTCTTGTGCTTTAATACATTGTAGTTGTGATACAGTTGCTGTTAATTCATAGTTCTCCTGACTTTTGGAATTCATCCCTTCCCTTAAAAGGGAAGGTGGCAGCCTGGAGTGGAGAAGCTCCAACTGCAGCCCTTTGGATGTTAATCCACCCTGACTTTCTTAAGCCTCCTACTTAAATCATTATCTTAATGAATCACCATTGCTGCTATCTTCAGTGCTACACAGGAACATGCAAATTTTAAACAGCCTGGGGGAAAGACCTTTTTGTCTGTAAAGTGCTCTGATACTTGCATTTAGATGTTGCCATGATAGGTACCTTGGATACTACTTTCTGCCTAACCCCGTGGATAGATCATGGGGTATAGTGCATCACCAATGTGTTCCTGCTAGGCAGCTCTCAGGGCTTGCCCCTGAGAGGAGGTGGATGTGACTCTGCTACTGACTGTAAGAAGCAGCTTTAGCTCAAGCGGTTGAAGCCAGATTGCTGTGCAGGTTTGTCATTCGTCTAACTGCCTGTTGGCTATGCTTTTCTTTAGTTGCAAAATGACAAGGAGTTAAGGGAGTGAGGATGGGGGTCCCCCCTCAGCTCTGCAGCTGCTGTTGCTTCACCTCTTCGCTTGACTTTTTTCGCAGCACAAAGAAATATGCCATGCAAATATTAATGTATCAAGTAGGGATCAAGAAATCTGATACAGCAGGAAAATTACCAGCTTGCTAAAAAATCTTAAGAACATTTGTTTGAGGAAAAACTGAACGTAGCGAAGCCACTGCAAAGTATCTCCAAGACTTTCAGCATTGTGTTGTCCAAATTTTTCCTTGAAGAGTCAACTTGGCTAGACATTGAGCTCTGCCCACTTTCAGCTTTCCCAGATGGTCCCTTGAGAAATGTTTACTTGTAGATGGTGGGTATGGAGAGAGAGCCATGTATAGCTGTTTCAGATGGCAAATCTTTGTGGTTATTTGCAATATGCATTGAAAGATTTGATTCCTTTATTCATTAAACCAAGAGCTGAAGAAGCTGTTTTATGCAAATGTCCTAGATGATAAGAAGTGTTCTTCTCAAATTGCAAAGTAATTTCACCCACTGTTCCATTTCTGTGGCTTAGAAGAAGAGCCCATTCCCTTACTATCGGTAACTTTTCCTCATCAGTAATAGTTCTGCTTCTGGATCAATGGCAGGATAAATGCAGAAGGTACCAGGTGAACAGAGATCCTCTAGTCTCAACTGGGAGAGGACCATATTAACAGAACTGAGCTTAAATGCATTTTCTGCAATAACATTACAAATTGTCAAGTCCTGCTGGGAGAGTTATGCCCACAAGAGGCCAGAACATCTATCTCAAGGAGAGCATCCTTATTCTTCCCAGCTGAATCTTCTCTGAAACCAGTTGAGCTGGAACTAGATGTTTTTAGACTAAGAAGAAATGCATTTTCTTGGCTTATACTAAAGCTAAGTAACATGTTCTTAGTTGGTTACCAAAGAAAGGGGATGTTAGCAAACAGTACGTGCTGATTTTTGCAGCTCAAGGCCTGGACAGCCCAGTGTGAGGCAGGAGATACTAACTGCTTCCTTACCCGTTTGTGCACACCATCCCCGACAGCAGCAGGTAACTAGCACTGTGACTCCAAGTTTTTTTCCTGCCTGGTGTAGCTCTGAACAGACTGCCACTTTCTTGAAATAGTGTTTAAGACACTTTGTGTAAACCGCTTTACAATGTTAATTTTTCTGCTCGCAGTGAGCAGACTATTGCGTTTTCTGTATTCAAGCTCCTAGTTGGTTCTGATCCCACATTGGATGGCAGCATTTTATAATACAGAGGTAAATTAACTGCAGAAGCCATCTATTAGATTCAGCACTTCAAGAACAGTCAGCCTAGGGATTTCAGAAGAAACAACAGAAGTGATTTATATATGTGTGTGTATACATACGTGGTGTGTGTGTGTGTATATATATTGCATATATATTGTGTGTATATTTCAAAAGAGAAAATTGAGGTGACTAACACTTGAGGCTGAGTGCAAATGCAACTTTTTCTCATTCCAGTCTTGGAAAGTAATGGTGATGGGTGTGGGCAGGTCTCTGGCTGACTTTCTGAATTGCCTTTATGTTAGAGCTCCAGCAAGGGATTTGGTGGAATTTCTTATCCTATTGAGTAAAAGTGATGTTCTATCCCACATTAGTTTCCTTAGGAAACAGAAGGAAAGGGACTCTTCTCCCCAGCACTTAACACACCCAGTGTTATTTTTGCAGGCACTATATGCAAAATGTTCAGAAAATGAGATATCCAGAAGGAGGGTTTAGATTTCAATATTCTGAATTGGCTTACATTATTTGCCTAGCTTTTGCATGCTATCTTATGCTCATGGGTAATAGTAGAGTTTTGTTGATGTACAAAGGTTGTTATTTCTATAGTTTGCTCATTCAAATTCAGAGGTTTGTAACTATGGAAGTAAAATGTGTCTGTGCTATTATTTTGTTAAGCTGTCTTGAGCTACTTTTGTAACCACATGTTCACAGGAGTCTGTGTTTGCTCAAATTACCTGCTCAGTTTTCTGGTCAGGTACGCTGAGATGCAGTGTTTCAGCTCATAGCTTCATGTTTTGTGTTATCTTTCTCATGGTCCATTACAACTGCTTCCCAGAAATTCTGAAATTGGGGTCAAACAAACTGCTCTGATGTTTCTCCCAGCATTTGCTAATTTGGCAGTATTTGAGCTGCTACTAAAAAGCATAGAGAAACTGCAGCTGAGCACTGTGCCTGGTGCTGGTATGAACAAGTGATGCACATAGCATTACACAGGTAGATGGATTTTAATCTGCAAGCATATCTATCATTAATTTTAAGGGCTTTTGGAACCATGGTAGTTCAGCTAAGAGAGGGAGATAAGCCAAGCAGTTATACGGAGCAGCTATATCTGGTGAAGCACGTCTCTTGGGATTAGCAGGGGCTCATGAGTCAGAGTAGTGAATTGTGCATCACAGCACCAAGTCTGACTGATCCTTCAGGACAGTCGCTCATTATATGGGGACGCCTGGGAAATTTCTTAAGACTGGGATAAGCTTAAGAAAGTTTCCTTGGTTGGTCAGTATAGATTTTAATGCAACAATGCTTCTCCCGGCTTGTTGGGGAGAACCATGTGCTTTCTGCTTCTCTGGCTTGTGGGACTTCTCACTGGATGTGCAGGTGACAGAAAGTATCTGTGAGCTTTGAGCGGCTGCAAACTGCCATGCTTTTGGGAAGACTTTGAGGGGGGAAGATGGCAGGGATTTAAAAGCTGAGAGTTTCACTGGCTTGAATTAGGTAAAAAAATTGAGAGACCTGTGGCAGCAGTTGTTGGGAGATGAAAAATTTCACCTGTCACCTCAGCAGACTACTCAAGAGCACTATCTGAAGTGAGTCCCCAAAAAGTTATTGCAGAGAGACTAATGACCAACTGGGAGGAAATGCTACACTCCCTGAAGAATCAACAAACTCTCTGGATGTTTACCCAAGCTGGTAAACCAAACAGAAACCATCAGTATGCTGCTGTGTAAATTCATGGTGTGCCAGTATCTTAAACACTATGCAATTCCGATTACCACCTCTCGAAGGTAGCGGAGGACTAAGGAAGGTCTGGAGAAGACCATCAAAGATGGGTCTCAAGTCAGTCAACAGGATTTCTCTTTTTGCCATAGAGAAGAGATGACTTATTACAGAAATTGCAGATGTTCTACGCTGTTATGAAAGCGGGGGGGAGGGGGGGGGAGGGGAGCAGGGAGTTATTCTTCATGGTTCTTGTGTTAACTAAACTGATTCAAAGCAGGCAAAGAGGAGGCACTCTGTCAAGCAGCAGTTACCATGTGAAACTCATGGCCAAAGGGTGTTATGGATGGCGGAAGTCTAAACAGATTGAAAAATCAATGAAGGACAGATAAGTTCTTATTAGAAGTGATGGCCTGGATGCAACCTCCAAATCAGGAGATCTTTAACAATTGCACAGGGTATAAGAAGGGAGAAGACTGCCGGTACTCTATTTCACTGCTCCCCCGCTTTTTTTCTTTTGGCCCTATTCTGGCTACTCCTGAAGAACAGAGAGAGAGCTAGACCTTTGCTCTTATAATATGGCTATTTTTATATTTGAAAACTAGAAAGGAAACTAGCTACACTTCAGTGCATGGAACTAGTTTTGCCTTGTAGCCCACAAGTAATGTAAAGCACACTGAAATGAAGAGAATTAGGAGCCAAACGCCTCCTAATACCTTAAAAATGTGTGTGTTATAAAATGCCTCTGTAGCCTGCTTACTTTGTTAAAATTCTGACTTAACAAAAAGCTGAGCTTGTTAATGAAGCTGTAAGTCACTACAATGTTTCTAGTTATTTTTCTCACTTTGTGTTTGGTGCTACAGTCAGTCAGGTTGCCTGATAATGCACCTAATGAGCTGGCTTAGGCA